GCAATAAATAAAATACAATTTAAATAATAATATAAAATTAATAAAACAAAATAAAATAAATATAATAAAATAAAATAAATAAAATAAAGTGGAATGTAATAAAATAAAAGAAAAAAATTAAATTAAATTAAATAAAGTAAAACAAAACTATTTAAATAAAGTAAAGTAAAATAAAACAAAACTAAATGAAATCAAATACAATAAAAAAAATTTATGAAATTAAATAAAATACAACAAAATAAATTAAAGCAAAATATTATAAAAGAAAATAATAAAACTAAATAATATAATCAAAATAAAAATAAATTAAATTAAATGAAATAAAACAATAAAAGAAAGCAAATTTAATATATTTCTATTCTTTTTTTGAATGGTTGAATGACTGGATGAATAATGTACACTAGGATATATGATAAAAGTGTTTTGCAACCTGTTATGTAGCATAAGGAGTGCTAAATTTGCCAGTTGATGGTGTTATTGAATACATCCGAGTTTTACATAGTGTGTAGACACCAAGGAAAAACCTCTGTAAAATTGAAGCTACAACTGTTTTAGAATGCGTAGCAGGAAAAATTGAAATTGAAATTGAAATCCACTGAGCACACATTCTCGCAAGCCAACGATATCCCTGACGTCGCAATACAAACTGACGGCACTACAACAGAGCGGTCGACGGTCTATTGGACAGACATACAAAATAGGCGAATCTTCTCAATGATGCTAGTGCAAACGATATGCAAGAAAAGTGTCAGTCAGATAGTCAAAATGTCGCTTGCAACACTCTCAAACATTTCCCACCTGCCCGGCCTCACACAAAAGGATATAGGGTATGTACATTCACACGTAAATATGTAACTTACTTCGAAACTTAGGGTTTAGTTTCAACAGAGATGCTTTTGAGTTGACATCTGTGCTTGGTTGCTTGCTCTTGCAAATACATGTGAGTATACATATGTACATATATTAGCAACGTAGGTGCTACAAAGTAACTGCATTTGTGAGATTGTGAAATGACGCAACGACAAGTTGAACGGATAAAAAAGAGAACCCGACTTTACCATTAGCTTACCATTTAGTCGGGTGAAGATAGAAAATGCAGTAAGTGTTTTAAAAAATCAGTATGGAAATTTATTCATAGAATTTATGCGCGCGTTCGTTGAGTCAGTCATAGAAGCACATAGTAAAAGACAAGCTACCGTCAGTTGTATAGACTAGAAAAGTTAGGTGGGGAAAACGGTGTTTACTAGTGCCACTACAAAAGTTTTATTGCTCACTATAGTGTAGCAGTCTTCAACGTCAACCATCGTAACGCCTACAGTGGTAATCAACAACAACAGTATCTACATATATCAATAATATCTACCAAATAACCGCTAAATGTTTTAAAATTCTCTTTAAAAATCATCAAAATTTGCTCAATGGTGGGTAATATGAAGTATTTCAAAGGAAAGAAAAAACAATAATTTTCCGTTTACTTAAAAAAGATGAGCTGGAAGTGAACTCAATACGACACTATCATCGTGACGAGTTCGGTAATTCGGAGATTTTTAATTTTGAAATTCTTTAAAATCATTAAAAGCGTGTTTTATGTGATGTCATGCCATAATTATGCCTATTTAGGATTTAAGAACATGCAATTTGGAATCGTCTTGCCTCTAATAGATGAAATAATGATATTGTAGACCATTATATTTGGATGACTATAAGATATTTGTATGTGGCCGCGGTAGTCAAGTGCTTAGCATTGCGTACTGCCATTCGGAAGACTCGGGTTCAAAGCTTGGTGTCATACTAACATAAAAAAAGTTATAGAAAATTAATTTAAATAAAAAATTTAGCTTAATTTTCTAATTGTGGTCGACCCACGGCAGGGAATGTCAACCCCTCCGAGTGCCGATCAGGCGGCTTATTATAAACTGTAGGTCCCTCCATTTGTTCGAAAAACTTCTAGGCGCAAAACCACTAAATGGAGGAGGAGCTAGGCCGAAAATTGCTTAAGCGGTTACAAAGCGCCAATTATAAAAGATATACGTGTATGTAGTTCCCGTAGCATTGATTATTCAGATACATATATTTTGATTTTAAATTTCGTGTCATAATTCTCGCGATCAAGCAGTTGCGACGTATCAATATAAGCTTAATGGCCAGACAAAAAAATTTCCATAATCCAATCTGTTTGAATAGATACTTACGTATATATTTGTTGATTTTATTTAATGGAATATTTGAAAGTTATGCAAGTCCTTTCCGAAATAAATGCTAGGCTTATTCCATAAGAAACTATAAAAGTGACGGCATATTAAAAGCTGATCATTTAGTACGATAGGCTTTGTGTTTTTTATTTTCCAATTTTAAATCAATCAAAAGCAAAAACTTTAAATAAAAAGTAGAGCAGGATCACTTTCAAAAAGCACATATTTTCATTAAGTAATTACACGTACAAAAAAATGTATATTATATTTGGTATAAATGCGATCAAAATTAAGCTCAGTTTTAGTAGGCAATTTTTAGTTGTACAAAAGTTCATAAGCTTTAGTCAAATATGTGAATATACTTCACGCATATGTACTTAGAGGGATGCATATACAATATATGTATGTATGTATGCAAGTAAACACAGTTGAGAACCATAATGTACGATATAGATACATATATAATATGTGTGTACATACATAACCTCTTTATCAATCGCTTGGACAACGAAACAATTTCAATTGGCCGGAGTATAAAAAAAAAACACATTACAAAGGAAAAATAATCGCTCAGCAAATTACGCAAAAACAACTACAATTATAATAAGTGAATGAAAATAAAAATATGCACAATATACGAGTGAGATGATTTATTGCGTTTCGGCGTGAAGTATGAGTGCTTTAACATGCTTGTAAAAGCACATATGTATGTGTGTGTGATTATGAGTTGCAATAATTTGCAATTGACAAAGCATGAAGATGATTTGCAGTTGTTGTTAGTAGTGTTGCCGTAGCTGTATTATCTGTTGTTGTTGTTGTTGTTATTGTTGTTTTTGTCTACTGCCATCACTTTTACTTTGGTTGTCGTTAGTGTTTAACATGAATCGCTCTTACACTAATTATTTCATATGCTCAGGCCGACATGCACTTGCTCTCTGGAAGCTATCAATTATTTGCATATGGAAATTATTTTCATTTTTCAACCGCTCATAACGTAGGTATATATGTATACATATGTACGTACATACATACGAATGCTTTTGCATCGCTCCGACCAACGTATCGCTTCTGCTCGAAAACGTGCTACAATACATATATATTTTTTTCCGTTATTTTTATGCAATAAATTTAATTTTTTTTATGCATACGCGAAAAGTTATGTGTAAATATACATATATGCATATTTGCTCATTTGTATATCCACATACATATAGGAGTGCGAGCATGAAAAACTAATTGTTTGATTATTGACCCGTGTTCAGTATTTAAAGTTTACGCCAGGCGATTTGTGTGATTACAAACTAATTTGTACCCCTGTCCGGTCGCGGCGCTACTTTAAATGCCGCGCTGGTGTCGTTGTTGTTGAGTAAAAAAGATTTATTAACTGAATAAATACTTTAATTAATTTTCAGTTATTACAATTTAATTAATAAGTTTTTTATGATTGATTACTGCGATCGGCGAAAGCGGTCAGCAGAAAAAGAGATCCAAATTAATTGATGTGTAGAGAGTTTATGTGTAGAGAGCAGGGCGGTGCGCAGGAATCGATTTTTTGAGGGGCTTTAGAAAATTTTCTCCATAAACGATATACGATGGATTTGCTTTCCGTTTAATTATCTTCATAACATTAAACAGATTTACCCAGACATCATAAATTTAAATGTTCTCTAGCTTGTCTGAAACTGCATACTCTGAATCGTAAAACTATAACCTTGAGCAGCAAAAAATTCTAATGCAACAATTTTTGAAAGGTTTCAATACTAACTGACCCAATACTTGATTTCCAACTCCTCCTTCTTTTGCAGAAAAAAGCACGCAGCATTTACAGAAGGCAAAGATGATTTCAGCAAAAGAACCGCCCGAACTCAGAAATTCACTTGACTTTGAAAAAAGCTTCATGTATATGTATCAAGATTTTTGGGCTTGCTGATTTTGAATTTGGTGTTTAAATTTCGAAATTGGAAATGGCGAACACTATTAGAGGCACTGTAAAAAAAGTGTAAGTTTACCGTTCCGGATAGGTAACTTTGTGTTACCAAGATTGAGATCGTGAAAGAGATAAGGTTAAGAATCGACACCCTTGGCAATTCTCAACCCAAAATTAAAGGAATCCATACCTTGCCTTGGTAAATCTCTCTGATATCAGTCATTTTAAAAGTGGCAGTAGATGTGACGTAAATATTTATCACTACAAAGCTAATATGTCTATTGTCATTAAATTTTTCTGTTTATAGCAGATTAAGAAATAGATCAGCTGGTATAATTCAAGCTAATTTCTTGATAAATATTATTTTTCGTATGTAATTTACCAAAAAGTAATTGTGGATTTTTTCGCTTGGCTTTTTTATGCAATGGAGAGCCTGACTAAATGTTGTTGTATTTATTTAACTCATAAGAAAATAAAATTGATCTTTCTTCAAGTAATCGCCTTTGATGTAAAAGAGAATCATATTTTCAATTTAGATTCGACCATGGGAGGGGTTCAAACCCCCCAAAATCCCTCCAGTGCGCACGGCCCTGGTCAAAACTAAAAACCACATCATTTAATTTAAGACTAGCGAATATAACTATTTGAAGTATTTATGTTATTTCTTAACGATTGAAGGGTTACTAAAACTAACACACCACAGCCTGCTATCGCAAACGTCTGTCCATATGGTGCAGTTTCTTAAGAGAATTTGAAGGCTTTTAAAAAAATAATGTTTTACGTAAGTTTAACTGTTCCTTTCGAATCAGTGTCGGTGGGATTTGAATTCCCTACTTATTTTATTAAGCTGACTTAACGGAATCGTCGTAAGTGCAACTTACCTTGGTTAAATATATGTACACCTGAAACGTGTTTAATGTGTGATTTTTCACCTAATCACAAATTCATATATATTTTTCTTCAAATGCCGAAGATGATTGTGATTTTAGAATATACTTTTTTATCTATACGTAGATTTTACCTTATTACTATTATTTATTCGCAGGTTTTTACACTTAAATACAATATCACAATTTTTTTATAATTTATATTTTAGCCTTGCTTAGTTCAAATGTATACACACATGTACGTATACATAAATATATGTACATATAATTAATTACAAGTGTATGCACACAGTTTTATTCACTGATAATATATCTTTGCATTCGGATTTATATTATAATTAATTCGAGTAATCGCGAAATATCAAAGCAAAAGTTCTCGTCGTTTATAATTGAAGCTGTGTGAGTTCTTCAGCAGAAATGTAGCACTTTTAAATTTATTTAGAGCGTTCAGACGATAGAAAAGTAAAATCAAAATTTGCACCAAAAACGAAAGCGAAACGATAGTAATTTGTATGCGCACAAGGACGAAGTACCAAGGGAACGAAAGCGCAAGGCTATGAGGCAAACATAAATATTCAAAATTTTGATGTGGATGACGTGTGAATTTCCTTTTTCTACCCATAAACGAAAATATTCGATTGTTAGCTGGCAGTTTTCTAATGGAAACGCGCATTTACCTCGATAGATAAGACAATAGGATATTTCTTTTCGTCGATTTGGGTATATATTTCTCTTTTAAATATATATATTGAAGTGTACAGTATCAATTCACGCACTCAAAACTGGATTTGGATGGACCACGCGCGTTATTCGTGTGCACGCATTACTTTGCATTGATAGCTTTTGCGCTTTGATGAATACAAATTCTTATCAGTTAATTTGGAATACGGTGTAATGTTATTGTTGTCAGCATTCAGAATTTTTGGCAGCATCCGAATCGACAAGTGTCACACATTGTTGTTTAAGAAGTTGATGAGACGACGACTCAGTGGCGCTGAGTGGAAAAGTTCAATGCTATTGGATTGATAAGACTGTCGGCGACAACGTTCCTCCAAAGCTTTTAATCTGCTTCAGTAGCGATTGTCTTAAGTGTAAATAGGAATGACATTTTTGAACTTGAGTTCTTTGTTTCTGTGGAATGTCGCTTTTATTTCGCCTTATTTTTATACAAATACATACGTAATAAGTATGTATATTTGACAATACTCTAAATGCTTTCACACACACAAAAATCACAATATTCACTATATTCTTCTGTTTCAATTGTCACTTTATAAATACCATACTTTTTTTTTTTTTGCTGAATTTTCACTTTTAGTTTTTATTTTGTTGTCACTTGCGACACTGCTTGTCTGACTTTCTGATTGTTTCCCTCCGACACGTCAACAATAGCATAAAGCGTTCGCAAGGCAAAATACGCAAAGAACATGAAGAAAATAATATATAAAATATTGTATATTGCTGGCTCGAGGGGGACGTATGGGCGTTCTGATTACGGTAAACGACTCGTTGTTAGAAATGTCACGCGAAATAAAATTTTCTACGTTTTTTCCATGTCATTTTCGCCTTTTTATGCCACAGCACGCTGCACAAGCTTTTAGTTGAGGGCTTTCGCGCGCGTTTTTGCTTTTTTTAAATTCCAACTTTAATGTATGAATTGCATATTCTTTATAAGTACCACGATACATTACCGACAATTTTCTTTAAAATGATATTACAAATCACACATATTCATTTGAAATATCAATGTATTTTTTGATTGAATTTTAATGAAACATCACAAGTAATTCTCGATTAGTAAAATGTTTATTGCATTGAAACAACAAGCTTGTCACAATCTACGTCATCCAGCTAATTCGAAGCGTAAAAACGAGTGTTCAATTAACGCGGCAGTGGCGAACGCAATAATCCAACTCGCCTCACATAAGACAAAAACATAACAAAACGCGGAGAATATTCGCACACGACGAAGAGCTGTGTTTTCAGTGTTTTACTGTTTATAAGCTTCGGTGTTTATTCCTGTTGCCTATTCGATGGCTGCTACTACATGCTGGCTGCCTGCCACTCTGCTAAGCGCACATCTATTTTGCACGTTCACATAACAACAACTAAACCAGCGCACTAACAATGAATCCACAATGAGCACAGCTCGTAAACATTCCAATAAATCTATTTCGCATGTTGCCAATGGCGCGCGCTACCACTCCGAAGTCGGCAACATGGCAACGGCCACAACCACAGCTACAGCAACAGCCACAGTCATAAAACAGCCAGAGACAAAACAAAAACCCATACACATACATATATACATATAAGAGCACAACGTAGACATATACATATGTACAACGGCACGAAACACGAATGTTGCCGAACTCTGGAAAATATGATAAATGGCCGAGGAAGTAAATTCTAGTTGGAAGTGTACGATGAAAACATTTGTGAATGTTGCCGAATGATAGAAAAGCGTTGGTGGTGGTTTAGTGAGGTGTTAATGTTGCGTGGCAAATAAGTGATGTTGCAGCAAAATGCTAATAGAATGTGAGAAGATACCGTGTAGGAAATACATTATCAAGCGGAGAAACCCTGTAGACAAGTAAACTTTCTTGCTTAAAGCACACAATGGCTACAGATATAGGTAATTCTGGAATGCAACCAGTGAATCATTCCGTACGGTTGGCCATTTAAAATAAAGACCTAGATAATGGTATCTCGAACAATTGTTAACCCATTTGCACAAATATTTGGTATTACAATGCAAAAACTATACAATATAAGCGGTGAAAGCTTTATACAAATGGAGTTCTAACCGCCAAAAGGGCGTAAGTGACAACATGAGACACAAATATCTGTTTTTTAAGCAGATCGACGATTTAGCGGTTAGGGCTCAAAATACTTTACGGACTAGTCAACCATGCATCCGTTTTATGAAAGAAATATATAAAGTTTAAACAGATTTACCAGTTTTCACATTTATTTAAATTTCCCCAATTCATATAAAACGTTCTTACTTACAAGAAATATATATCCATAAAAATGTTGATGAATTTTTCAGGATTAATTCAATAAAAATAAATTTTGTACATATTTTTAAAACAAAAATTCTCATACTTATATTAAGAAGAACAAGAAAGGAGTGTTGCCCTTGGTCATAACGAAATCTTTATACCTTTCTTTGGTTGGAATGAAATAGTAATATTTTGTTTATTGAAAATTTTCACCGTACATATTGACGTTTATTCAGAGTTGCTATTTTATAAATATTAAAAAAAAATTAAATTGATAATTATTCAAAACTTGTTGAAATAGGAACAGTATCAATTTTGTATTTGTTAACGCAACGGGAACACCACCAGTGAAATTTGTTTTTAGAAACTTATAAAAATCGCACAAATGGCTAAAGATTTTAAATAGTTCAAGAATTAAAAATATGCTTGGAATGTAATCATGGAAACCTTTATGGAGAATATATTATTTAGATGGACTTGAAAGTAGGAATAAGAAGGATGGCTATAAAGAACAATCATTTACGGCGACAACAAGCAACTGTATTGTGATTCCTTCTGACCATTTCTTTTGAAGATTTTCACTCTATATCTCTCTCTCTCTTCTTTATTTAACGGTTTTTCACATGTAAAATCTTAAATCTTTATCTAAATAAGAATAAATTTGCCTTACTTAAATTTAATTAAATTTCATAGAGTGAGGACAGCATTGCTGTAGCACTCACTCTAGTCTTAAAGCCGGATCTATCTCAAGTATGACTAAGATAAAGTGCACTTTCAGTTAGAGCAGAGTATGAATATTTATCTTAGTTTTGAAGAAATAGTAGTTCGTCCTGTACATGGAAGGTATACAAATATTTTTATGTTTTTTTTTATACATTCATGCATATGTATGTATGTATGTACGTATAGTATTCCCTGTATTAACGAAGCATATTCATCAATACAAAGTATAAAAAACACAAACACTTAATAACACACTGTTTACTGACTGTTAAAAGTAACTGGAAATGTTGCATTGGAAATAAATGCGCTCACATGGCCATGTTGCTAATGCCTCATCTAATATGTTGCGCAACACTCTTCACGTATGTTTATATACATTTTTGCTGCTAAAGTGATAAATACTCGGGATTTTTTAACTTATAGGAGTTGGAAGCAGCACAAAAGCAAATTAATTTAAAAAATGTAGACTTTTTATTAATAAAAAAGAGCTGGCTCTGTCGCAGGGCACATACTGTTAATTAAAAAAATTCTAAAAACCTTGCTTCGCCAAGCTATCGCAAGCTTTACATATGGAGAGTCTTTGAGATTTGTATGATGAGTTTTGGAAAAGAGTTTGGAAATTTATGGGTTTAAACATTGATAAATAGATTTGTAAATATGTATACTCAAAAGTAAGTTTATTGCTTATTTTTTAACTAAATTAAGATGTTAACGAAATTTATATTTTACAAACTAGAAAGAAACATCAGATAGGTACGAGTAATATGTCAAGTGACACGCCACGCCCATCACGTGAATCCCTAATGAAATGATTAGTGTTACTTTGAATGCCACTCCTTCATATATAGCACTATTTTTTTATACGTTTCCAAACATCTGCAGATATATTTTACTAGTATCATTTTCACCCTTGTATTTCTGCAACACAAATCGCAATCATGAATATTTATGTGAAACTCACATGTACTCGTATATTTGTAAGTACGCATCCGTAACAATAGTTCAAGTGCAGCGGCGTTTTAAATTTGAATATTTAATTTTGCTCCGCTCGAATCTGGTCAATTGTCATTGTGATCACAGACACGAGCGGAAGAGTACATACAATATCTTGCAACACAACAGCAGGCTAACTTGCAGCATTTCGTTGTTGTGGCGTGCATTCGACCTCATTGGTGGTACCGGCTTTCTACAGCTGAACGACGCGACCATGAATGAATGAAATTGAACTTGATTTTTCGTTGTTCCTTGCATTATAAGCAGATGACAACAATAACAAATACCCAAAGTAGAGTTATCAACTACAGCAATAAGCGCGGCAACAACTCGTTTGTCGTGGTAAAGTGGTAAAGTGGCAAAGCAGCCAAGCGGCTGGCTGGCCTTTGTGTGGAGCAGAGCGATTTGCAGCCGCAGGGTAGTCTTCTTTGGCTGTACGCAGTATTTCGGCAGAAAGAGAGAATTGTCATCGGTGTTATTGTTTTTGCTGTTTGCCGCCGCACCGAAATATTGTTAAGATTTATTGCTTTTTGTGCGGTGCGCAATTGTTTTGTTTGTTTTTATTATATGCTCTTACATACATATATGTATTTATATATAATATTAACTTGTACATATTTGGTTGCGATGTATTTATTAATTTTGTTGCTGTTGCAATTGCTGTTGTTGTTGCTTTAATGTGAGAAAAACAAATATTAATGTTGAATTTCAATTGAAAGTGAAAAGCGTGGAAAAGTGCTCATCGAATGTCGGTGTCTCCGTCGCTGTCGCCGTCGCCGTCGCCGTCGGAACAGCCGTTTTCATTAACGTTGCCGCTGGTGTTGGCGCAGTTCGCTTGAATGTTTGGCGGCTCAGTCGGTCAGCTTTTTTATCTCTTTGTAGTTGTGCTGCCACTCCTCTTTCCACTATCCTCGACGCTGCTCCGACGAGTCCACAGTTTGGTAGGTGTTGTTTTTACTCCCTTTTTACATGGACCGAGGGATACGTATATACATATATATATATATATTTATATAAACTACAAAACGTACTGTAAAAAAAGGTAACTTAGAAGAGGCACTTTTGGGATATATTCTTCAGTCTGGTTTCAAATAGCTCTCTGGTGATGCACGGCGTCAGAGAGCTACAAAGTCTTTGTTATGTTTCTTTTATAAATGTCTTTATTATGTGTACAAAGTATATCTGGACTATATATTTTTTAATTTTATGAAATATTACGTCTGATAATATATATTTTTTCTCAGTTTTTATGTATGTTTGATTACTATATTTAATTATTATTCATAGTGATGAGCAGCACCCTTTAGACCTTAACGTTCATTCATAACTACATACATACTTACAAATGTATGCGTATCTTTACAGATGGAGGGATGACTTCTTAAAGGGATAATTGCGTGAAGCAATAAATTTCTTATTCTCTTTTGTTTAGCTGTAATTATAAGAAAGTTTTTATCTTTTTAAAAATATGTTATTTTTTGTGATCTATTTATGAGCAATTGATTAACAAAGTGAGATCAAACACCTGCCCGGTACAAGCATCTAAGGATATGCACATCGGCGTACGGATATTACATGAATAATTATAGCTGTCTGTATCCTATATGTGAAATCAACGCATCCATAGTAAAAACTATGAAATGAGGTTCTGAAAAGCTCTAAAATAGATTCAATAGAAAATATTACGCTAATATTGGCAAAATGAGTAAACTGAATATCTATGTATGTACAAAAATATATATGTACATATATTCTACGTAATTTTTAAGATTTAACTCCAATTGGAACTACATACGCATACACATACATTTGTATTTATTTATTGAATTCTTCTTGTTTTGTTTTCTCCTTCAGTCTTTATGCCTGGCTAAAGTTTTTTGGGTAGTTATAATTTCATCATCGCCTACCATGAAAAAATAAAATATTTGCTTTTGCCTACTCTTTCTTCACAACGTCATTCCATTCGTCTTTTTTATGGCAGTGGCTATATGCTCTTGATTTTGCCATCAATGTTCGCAGCATTTTTGTTTTTTTTTTTAGTTTTTTCGGTTATTTGCTCTTTTCGAATTGTTGTTGTTGCCGAGCTACCATTGCCGCTGTGCGCCCATGTTTGTTCTTTTGACAGCCAGTCAACCCGTCGTCCTTTCATTTGTTCTGTTCTAAATTCGCCTTGCTTACTCATTCACACACATGCACATACGATACAAATATGCATGAACGTACGCATGAGTGTAGAGCATGTTCGTATTTGCCTTGTGTGCCCTGTGTGTAAGTCTACCATCACTCCTCAACCGTTCTTAAGCATTCACTTTGCCTACATAACTGCCACAAAAAATACTTACTGCCTGCTCCCTCCGCAGTGATGAACACATTGCTCTCTAAC